GATAGATAGATAGATAGATAGATAGATAGATAGATAGATAGATAGATAGATAGATAGATAGATAGATAGATAGATAGATAGATAGATAGATAGATAGATAGATAGATAGAAAACAAATTTCTATTCCATTCTTGAAAATTTAATTATTAAATCTAGTGAAGTTAATAATCAGTCATCATAACAAAATCAAATACACTTAAATTAATTTCATATTTAAGTCAATGTGTTTCTCGTGGGTTCTTTGTAATTATTTGTGAAATTTACAAATTTTGTATTTAGTAAAGATTTTTAGTAAATACATTTTTACATTTTTTTTCCCAGTATAGGTTAAGTAAAAATTTGTGATTTGAAAGTTTTGAAAAAGATAGTTAGATAGATAGATAGATAGATAGATAGATAGATAGATAGATAGATAGATAGATAGATAGATAGATAGATAGATAGATAGATAGCAACAAAATCAATCAGCAATTTCTGAGTGATTTTGTTCAGTATAAATAAATAGATTCAAATTCAAATCCATCAGGGGAGCAACATGGATCATAAAAGCATAAGCACATGTACAACTGCGCACATAAAACTCAGCTGCTGCTTAACACAGATGTAGTACAGAACTTCCCTACAGTTCAGCCCTGTGTTGTTTTCACATTCGTTTTTCGATACAAGTTTCTCTCTCTCTTCCACATGCATGTGTGGGGGGTTATTTTTGTATGGGAACAGCAGTCTTTGATTGCTGTGTAGGGATCGCACCCCACACAAAGATGGCCCTGTTCTGTGGCCTCAACGGCATCGCCTCGGGGGTTTTAGGGGCCTGGAGGTTAAAATATGTGTTCGATGCTCTCTCCTCCCCCATAAAACATACCTAAACACATGTATGATAAAACATCCTGCTATCTTCTCTGAGCTGATCAAAGATCACAAAAACGCCAAACGTCATCCCTTCCCTTTCCTCATTCAGAAAAACACAGAATCCCTCCTTTAGCATCTGCTGAAATCCCACCGCTATAACCACCAGCCCACCGTCCATAGTAGAAGGCTCGGGTTTTGCCAGTGCAGTTTTCCTTCTGTTTTCCTTTGCACTGATTTATGAGTGAACGCAGCTAAAATTAAGAAAGCGCTTCAGGGACGGCTCACTGGAAACACTCTCTGACTGCACATGAATGCCTCTCTCTGTGCGAAATGTAGATTGTGTTTGGATTGTAATGACAAAACTGAGCAGCTTGTGTGAAGAGAAATGAATGTTGAGAATCAGCCATAAATGGTTGATGCGTGATGAAGTGCCTTGTTATAAAATATGCACTTTTTTGTGTGATACAATGCAATACTTCATTATTACATGTTTATAAACATCAATTTAAAATCCCATCAATTATATAAAAAAATAAATAAATAAGACCTAAGTTTAATGGCCAAAATTGCAAATGCTAAAACTGTTATTCATGCAACAGCATACAATACATAAAATAGAATAGAATACAAGTTTATTATATGATACAATTATTTAGTAATATTAAATATTAAAAGTATATCACATATGTATATATATATATATATATTGAATGTGTTTTGTTGGCAGATTTTTAACCTCACTGAATGTAATGATAATTTAATATTTATGAATACAAGAAGGTTTTGTTATATTATTATTTAATAATATTATAAAATACATTTTATACAGTATATTATAATATTATGTAATTAAAGATATTACGTATATATATACATACACATACACACACACACACACAGTGTCATATATATATATATGAATTTATTACACCTCTATTATTCTAACATCATCTTTTTTTTTTTTTTTTTTATGTGTTGCAGGCAGCTCATCAATGCCATACAACACACCATCTCATACCGACCAGTCTCCTCGCTTGGTTGCCAAAGACGGTATGACAAACTGATTGTCCTCAAAATATATATGTCTTGCTCCAACAATATTTTAATTTGTTCTGCAAATACAATTGCAATAATACCATTTTCACTTGAAATCCTTACGGTCCCATCCATAGATTACTAATTCTGAGGCACAAAAGGCACATTAGGTGAACAGTGCATATGGATATGACATGAAGAACTGAGTCTTATCATTTCATCAAAATAATGGCATTACAGAGTGTTTAGTTGGCCCGTGTTCCCTCTTTCCATCTTTTTCTAGTGTGTATCAGAGTAGGGCTCCAGGCCGAGGCGAAGCACCCAGCAGGTGCTGTCTTTGTGTGCCGCAAATAAAAAGCGTCAACCATTCAGTTTCCACCTGAGCATGGACAGCAGAGGCTCTCAGAGTAGAGAGACAATTAGCAAGACAAAAGCTGCGTGCAGGAAAGAGAGAGGCAGGGACACACACAGAGAACGAGTAGAGAGACAGGTGTCTCTGTGAACAATACAGCAAGACTGGACTGAGATGTTAATGGAAGACACGTGTGCCATAATAGCAGTGATTTAGGGCGTTTTGTACGTGCGGACGTTACCTAGATTGAGTTTATAGCATAAGAGCATTGAAAAGGTGGACAGTACAATAACATTTTTAGAAAAAGTAATCTGATTACGTAACTCGCGTTACTTGTAATGCGTTACCCCCAACACTGTTTACCATAATATCAATATCAGCCCGAAAATGAATTGTTGCTTGTGTCAATAGAAAGTGGAATAAAATAAAAATGAAATGTTTAAAGGGGTCATGAACTGAGAAATCGAAATACCCTCTATCATTTGACATTTAAGAGGTCATTGAACTATAAAAACATTTAAGTTTCAGAACTCAAAACTTTCTCGTTAGTCTAAAAACAGCTTATATTGAAGCCAATCTGCCAAAACAACAGCTCGTGGAATGTGTCACTTTATGATGTAATAGTGAGGCTAAACCCCGCCTCCGCAGAAGAAGATCAACGCCTGCTTCTACAGCACTGCCTGTTTAGCCCCGCCCACCGAGTCGCACATGTAGTGCAAATAACGAGAGAGGCAAACACAGGTCTACACAGAAACCAAATGATAAAGATGCTCCGAAAACGACAAGACGCTGTGCAGTGCCAAGCTGTGGAAAACATTGCCTTCCTTCTGATCTCAGCGTTAGGAAAGAGTGGATGAAGTTTTTTGTTGACTTCGTTTTACTGCGGATTCGTTAACAGAGTGTTCCGATGAGGGGGGTCAAAACAGGACAGCAAATAGCCTATTACTTCTGAAGTATGATGTTTTTTGATGAACAGTACAAAATAATAAAAAGGCAGTACATGACATGCTCTTTGAAACATCTCAAATCGTGCTTGAGAATGTGATATGGAATTAATCTGCAATGGTGCATGTGTATTGCAGTTAGAAGGTCTTTGCATTAACAGCTGCATATATAACCACAACAACCCAACACGAAGAATTTGCAAATTAATGTGCTTTTGAAGCAGAAACAGTCCGTTTTTTTGGGCAGCTTTGGATTTTTGTGGATATTGTGGATTGTTGTTGAATTGTCAGCAGGGGCATAGCAATCATTTTACATGTCCCCGACACTTATAAATCAGTGATAAATAACCATTTATAAAATCAAAAATACATATAATAATGATAATCGATTATTTTATAGGTTTTATAGCTTTATAAAAATAAAAATAAATATATTAGTAAAAATAATCAAATATATTTTAAAACAATTAATTTAAAAAGCAATAATTATTTAATTAATATGACCATTTATATTATTAATAAATAATCAAATAAAACAAAAGCCATACTGTTGCATCTGCAGCAGTAAGCTACAATCCTAATGTCTATTATCTCAGCAAATCATGTAGGATTCAAAATAATAATAATAATAATAATAAACTTTATTTATAATGCGCCTTTCAGACATAAAATGCTGTTCAAAGTGTTACATAATCAGACATTTAAATTGTAAATGTACAGCTCTTGTTAATAACCGGTCGATTGGATATTAAATACATGACACCAAATTATTAATATTCATGAAAAAAGCTATTATTTTATAATTTATACAAAAGCTATTTTATAATTGTGTCCCCCAAGGTTTTTAGATGGTTTATGCATCGTTGATCGTCAGGCTTACACGACCACAGAGATTTCTGTGACTCATTTACGTAATTTACGTGTGTACTTTCCAATGATAACACAAGATACACATCCAAATGAAATCAGGCTCTCAAACTCATCAAGGAAATCGGTTTCCATAAACCATTTAAGTAAACATTTGACAGTCTCTCTGGAGAACGGTCCACTTTGGGCTTTCCCACTTCAGAAAGCAGAGGGCTGCAATAACACTGAAAGTCCTGAGATCAGAGCTGGCCTGATAAAAGCCAGAAGTCAGACCACCTGTTCTTTACACATATTAGGGTCATTAGTACAGTGAGCTTGAAGATAAGATAATGCTGAGACGGTTGTGAGACCTTTGACCCTCTTCTCACAGCTGTCAATCATAGTAGAGTGAATGTGTTTCATGAGAAAACGTCTTGAGCGTCCTTTCTACAATGCTTACATATCTCTGTATTTGAAATGTAGTGATCCATAAACCTTCCCTGGAGCTGTGCATTTAATCCAAAGCATAAAAAATGATACACTCGTCAAAAAAGTGGCCACTGAACAGGTCTCCATTTATCAGCGGAAGATTAAACGTTTGATAGCTAGATTTATTTTCACTTACCCTTCATCTCAGGCCATTTTTTGCTAAGCCAATTTCTCACAGGTAGTTAAAGATTAATACTGATTAATACTCCACTTAGAGCAGTAAATACCATATTACACTGATCTTAACTACTGATCTTCTGTTTAGTGCCCTAAAAGGTCCCGTTTCAAACTCAGTGAGCATTTTAAGGCATCATAAGTGCACTGCAGATGCAAAGCCTGTTCCAAAAGGTAGCCAAGCATGATTATCTTTCCTATTAAGATACCTTTTTTGATTATGCTGCCTTCTAAGATAACAGTGTGTGAATAATTATTTATACATCAATTATTCACTATAACTATATGCATTCAAGTTTTCACACTATCATACAAAAATGTAGGTTCAGTAAGATGTTAAAGTCTCTTCTGCTCACAAAGTTTGCATTTATTTGATCAAAAATACAGTAAAACTGTAATATTGTGAAATATTATTACAGATGAATCTATGTTAAAACTGAATTCATTCCAGTGATCAAAGCTGAATTTTCGGCAATCGTTACTCCAGTCTCCAGAAAAAAATCTTTTCAATACTGTACCATTTTTCCCGTTATTTATGTGTACTACTATTGTGTTTTTATATTAATGTGAGTATTGCCGTGTAAGTTCCGTAACACATTTACTGAGGTTTTATTTCATTTGGGATGCTGACTTAAAAGGCAGCTGTCTGTAGGTCATAGAGAGCAGGGCAACTCACTAGATTTTTGTAACAGAGCCTGTGAGTTGCACTGCGTTTTCTCTTCTATTCTGTTAAGCATGAATGCAAGAGAATATACATTGGATTTTTTCAGTGCCGTTTAAAAATTGAGCTAGTCTAGACGGCTTGCTGGGCGAGAGTCTTGTTTTGACTAGAGAGGTCTCTTGAGGAGACGCCACACCCAAACACAGCACACCAACAACACTAAACTCTCTTCTCGCTGCCTCGTACACCTTCTGCAATCAAACACTGCATTTCCTTTTATTTATGGCAGAGAACAGCGCACTATCCTAAAGCATGCATTAGGGAAGCAAATCTAAATGTATGGCCCTGAATCAGGACCGGTCGGTTCTATCCGTATCCCAGATGCACATCTGTCTCTTGTTTCGCAGTTGATTGAATGAGGAGCACGGGCCTCGCTGCTCCTCCGGATTTCAGATCTGAAAGCGAAGATCTGGCAGTCGTATCCTTCCGTCTTTCTCTGCGCTCCATCAGACAGTAGCGACGGCCACCACCGCTGTTTTCTTTGCAAATTCCGATGATGTGCAGCGTCTGCTCTCCGTCTCTCTCTGTTCTCCTCATCGCTTTGTGACCCCTCTTCTTCTCTCCTGGCTGCTGTGTGTGTGTGTGTTTTTCATGGTGGAGGGGGATGAAAAAAACGAGGGGAAAAAAGGCCAGTAAAACAAAGAGAGGTTGTGTGAGAGACTCTCTCAGGAAACATTACTCTCTCTCTCTTTCTCTCTCGTTTTCTCTTCTCTCCGGCCCGGCTCCAGATCAAATCTGACAGACACTGCGAGACTGAAGGACGGAAGATCGTTAGAGGGAAAGAGTGACTGTTTGAGGATAAAGAATGATACAAGACTTGAAATAGAGGAACGCTAAATGGAAAGCAACTTTTCCCAGATATCATCTGAATTCAGTGCCTAGATGTGTAGTGCCTATATATAGTGCACTGATAAATTACTATTACAGATATGCAGATTAAATATTTATAGTGAAAAGAAAGGACAATATATTCATCTAATGTGCCTTCAATGCAATTGAATTTTAAATGAATTATTTACCCATTATGTTGTTAAAAACCCATATGCTGTTATTGCCCATGTAACTCAAAAGGGGAATTTCTGAAGAATCTTTACACATCTTTAATGGAGTCAGTTTAGACATCATTGGAATTAAATATCACTCATTCTTGCGTGTCTTGTGACCAAATGTCATTGACAGCAAAGTAACTTATTTATTAATTTTTGAGCTTGATATGGTCATTATAACTGTCAGTATGAGTCAGTATATGAGTTTTGAAAGAGAAATGTACATTGTGTGTGTGTATGTGTGTGTGATTTATTCATTTAATCTTGATAAAGTTAAAAATTAGCAGAATAGATCTTAAATACAACTACATTAGCCTAGACAAGTTTTTAGACTAGTAAATGTTTAAGATGGTTTTAAGAAGGTTGGTTGGTTATCTCTATCTATCTATCTATCTATCTATCTATCTATCTATCTATCTATCTATCTATCTATCTATCTATCT